CTCCCTGTTTGTCTTCCGGCCTGCCTGGCGAGGCGAAGTGTCCGCCGACAGCTTACATGGCGAGCCTGCAGAGCCAAGCTGTCGAGCATCACTGGCTTGAGACCGTAAAAAACTGCTGCATCGTGGGTCGTCCTCCGATGGCGGTGGGTGCCCCGAGCCCCCGTCGCAGCCGCGCAGCCCGCGGAGCCGTGAGGGTGAGACCCCTGGCGGCCATCGTTGGCCACCCGTCCTTCGGCGGGGTCCCCCTACCGAGGGCCCAGCCGAGCCAGGCCGCACCGCGCGGAGCGCCATGGTGCCGCGGCTCGCCGAGTCGGCCCCAGCGGCCCGTCGACACTGGCAGGGCGCGGGCCGCGGGACGGCCGCTACCAGAGGCCGCGCGGGCAGCGGCCGTGGCCGACAGCACCCCGTTCGGGCACCTCCGCCGCGGAGGGGGCCGCGAGGCTCCCGAGCACCAGCCCGCCCACGGCCTCCGCACGTGGCGCAAAGCGGCACGGCGACGACCTCCGACGGCCCGACGGCCGCGATGAGACGACGGCGTCCGCTACATCCTGCGCGGCATCCTCCTCCTCCTCCTCCTCCTCCTCCTCCTCCTCCTCCTCCTCCTCCTCCTCCTCCGCCTCCTCCTCCTCCTCCGCCTGCTCCTCCTCCTCCTCCTCCGCCTCCTCCTCCTCCTCCGCCTCCTCCTCCTCCTCATCATCATCCTCCTCCTCTTCCATTCCTCTTCCTTGGAAATAACTTCTCCCCGTCACGTCCCGGGGCCAGTCGGGAAGGCGGGCCAGGCGTTTCGGCGGAGACTTCCTTCTACCGCTTATGGGCCTCAAGAATCAAAACTTGCAACAGCTTTATATAGATTGAGGGTAGGTGGTTTTCATAGTGTGGCTCTCGCCTTCGCGCCGCGCCCATTAGTTCTGAAAAACTGCGAACATCTTCATGGATTGAAAGCGTCTCGTACTCAAAATGTGGCTCTTGACTTAGTGCCGCACACCTTCGTTTGAAAAAATGCGAATGTTTCATGGATTGAGGGCGGTTCGTCTTCAATGTGGCTCTAGCCTGAGCGACGCGCACATTCGTCTTAAAAGTTTGCAAGAACTTCGCAGATGGAGGGCGGTTCTTTTTGCAAAATGAGCTCTCGCCTTGGCGCCACACACATTCGCTTCAAAAGATTGCAAGAGTTTCATTGGTTATCATGGCTAGCGTACCAAATTGTGCTTTGGAACGATTCAGGATTGTCAGGGCGCACCAGTTACGTTGTGAAGTCTAAGGAATGGTTTTATGGCAGGACCCAGGATCGCCAAGACGCAACAGTCAGGTTGACTCGTGGCGTTCGAGTCCTGAGCATGGTGTTTTGGCACGCTTCAGGATCTTCAAACGGTTGTCTCCCGACGTGGCACTTCCCTTAGTGGAAATGAATCCTTGTAGGCATCTAACCTCATCAAGCTATGAAGGAACCCCCCGGGGCCATCATTAGCTCCGCACCGTAATCAAATGATTCTGGGGGGCGGTTTTCGCCGAACGATATGATTAGCACCGCGCGAATGGAACGAAAATAAATGATTCCCGCTCCCTTGCTCGGGTGGTTTCCAAATTGGAATTGGAATAAGAATAAGAATAACAGAGAAATACGCGTAATAATAATAATTATTATAATCATAATCATAATAAGCATAATCATAATCATAATAATCATACTCATATGAATAATAATAAGGATAAGAGTAAGAGTAAGAATACGAATAATAGTAACAAAACGAGTAATAACAATAAGAAGAAGAAGAAGAATCAGAATCCGAATACTAATGATAAGAAGAAGAAGAATACAAATAATTATTCGCCCCCCATCGTAGGCACGGACGTTTCCTTTTCAAAGCTGGGCTCTCCCTTGCTGGGGCGCTCCTGCTCGGAAGGCCGATCGCTGGGAAGACGCGCGACCACTCCAGTTCTCACCCAGACCGACCACCTGACGCAAGCTCGTCTGCGTCCAGAGCAGTTTCTGAGGATGTCTCAGGCGAGGCGCTTGTCTCAGAACCACAAGGAGACCATATTGCGAGAATGTCTCAGGCGGTTTGCTTGTTTCGGCGAGCAGACTCGTCTGCGTTCACAGAAAGGTGCGAGGTGCCAAGGTAACGCTTCTGGGATGCCCGGTGCGTTATACTTTCGCCGGAGAGGGGGGGGGGTTCTTAATTGCCGGATGAGGTTATGACGAGGGGGCTCGGAGGGAGGGTATATTCCAACATCGCTGATGAGTCTTAGGTTTACAATAATCCTCCTCCTGTCCCTCCGTCCCTTCTCCTTGTAGAAGACTCCTCCCTGTCGCACCCCGAGGCTGGTCGCAAGGGCGGGCTGGGCGTTTCGCGTGAGACTTCCGCACCGCTTAAGATCCTGAAGCTTCAATGTTTGGAGAGCTTCACGGTCGGAGCGCGGCCCGTTTTCGGTACCGGAAGACTGGCGAGAGGCGTCCATTCCATCTTTAATGAAGGGGCCCTGGGACACACAAATAAATACACACAAATAAAGATATTCCCCATATTTTCCTATATTTTCTGGGTTTTTGTCTTCCCGCCCGATTCCCATATTTTCCCATATTTTCCTGGGAATCGCCGATTAATTGTGTCTGTGTGTTTTTTCCCCTCCTGATTCAAGAAGTGCGATCCATCACAACCGAGCAATTGCAGGCCAATGCCACTTTAAGCTGTATATTTCAACATACTCGCCGACATAACTCTACAAAAACTCAAATCAGGTGGCGTGGAGAAACGCTTACGAGAATCACAATACGGTTTCAGACGGGCCCGCGGCACCGCTGACGCACTGTTTTTGGCGCGGCGCCTTCTTGATGCAGCTTCTACGATTACTTTTGGACTGAGCCAAAGCATTCGACCACGCCGAGCTGGATGGACTACTCCACGCTCTGCGGCAATTTGGTATACACCCAGATATGCTCATCATGATCAGGGGGACTTGCACGGCACGCAAATTCACCGTGAAAAGTGGGGAAGGGAAGTCGTCCCAGCGGTGCCATAATACAGGGATCGCGCAAGGGTGTCCCTTATCACCATACTTATTTGTGATCATAATGTCCATTCTTCTGCAAGCTGTGGACACGGAACTACATAAGAGCAACCCCATCGAGAGTCAAAAAGCCGCACATCCTCACGGAAGACATACTCAATGCCGACGAAACACTGTTGATAGCAGAGAACCCAGACGCTATTCAAACTCCTTTGCACGTTATTGCGCACATTGAAAAATCATTTCGTCTGCAACTCAATGTTGGCAAGACGGTACTCTTGAAAGGCCGATGTGATGCGACTATATTTGGGCCCGGGAGCGAACGTACTCAATGCCAAGACCACGCTACCAATTTGGGTGGCTTTCTCAGTGCCGATGAGAATCCAAAAACAGAGCTTACGCGGCGTCTTGGCAAGGCGAAGGAGCACTTTAAAAGCTAAGTGTTGTGTGGAACCATGCAAAGGTCTGCCGCCGGCGAAAAAAATCATATTAGACACGTGCACATGTTCGAAGCTACTCTATGGACTAGGACCGTGCATGTCGCTCGCCGCTGATAGGGACAGGCTCAAGGGTTTCCGAGCACGGCGTTTGCGTAAGATCCCTAAAACCCCACTGGCCTTCATCTCGAGAATAAGCAATGAAGAAATATGGAACATGAGTGGAATGGCACGGCTGGCTTCGATATTGTTGCAGCGGCAGTTGATTTATTATGGGAAGTTTGCTCGTGATCGGCCAGACGCACTTTCCAGGCAAATGGCTTTTGAAGGAGGGCGATTATGCAGGTTCTTGCCCAGAAGGTGGAACAAATCACGGAAGCAAGGACGCCCTCGCCTATAGTGGACGCAGCACATGCACGCGTGTGCTGTGAGCCTAGCAGGAGATTGTCTGGACAGCCTGCAGAGCCTGCTGCGAGGCTCTCGCGCATCTTAAGGAGCTGCAGTTGAACGGTATTGCAAGTCTGTGCAACTAGTGTGCTCCTCTCCTTGCCATGGTCCTCCTTTCCCTTCCCTCCTCTCCCTCCTGCCCCCCCTCATGCACGGTACCTCGCTGATGCATTAATTGCCAACCGCCACCCATCACTGCGAATTCAGTGGCCGTGTTCTGGCGCGCATGAGCCTTGCTGGCAGATGTTATATATTTGTCGTGGCCTCCTATGTTGTGCGATTGTCTGCCGATGCGCCGCCCAGGCGCGGCTCCTTCCCGCCCAGACATTCGCCATAAAAGTTCGCAAGAGTTTGACGCATGGAGGGCGGCCCGTTCTCGAGATGCTTCTCTCGCCTTGGCGCCGCGCACTTTCGTCTTAAATGTTCGCACGAGCTTCACAGATGGAGGGCGGTTCCTTTTCGAAGTATGGCTCTCGCTTTAGCGCCGCGCACATTCGTCTTAAGAGTTTGCAACATTCTCACGGATGTTCATAACTACCGTCCCAGAAACGGTGTTTTGGCATGATGTCGGACTGTCAAGGCGCAACAATCACGTTGATTCGCTGCGGTGGAATGCAAGGAATCGGTCTCTGGCACAGTTCAGAATCATCAAGACGCAAAAGTAACGGTGATTCGCGGCGTTGTTGTCCCAGGAATGACGTTCTGACACTATTCTGGATTTTCACAAGGTTGTTTTCCAACGGGGCACTTCCCTCAGCGAAAATCCGTGTATGGGGCATATGAAGATGGAGCTTGGAGGGAGGGTCGATTGGAACATCGTTGATGAGTCTTGGGTTTGCACTGGTCCTCCTCCTCCTCCTCCTCCTCCTCCTCCTCCTCCTCCTTCTCATCCTCATTCTCATCCTCCCCCTCCTCCTCCTCCTCTTCCTCCTCCTCCTCCTTCACTTAATCATCATCCACTCCTCCTCCTCCTCCTCATCCTCATCCTCCCCCTCCTCCCCCTCCTTCACCTAATCATCATCCATATCATCTCTATCCTCTGTCTCTCTCGTTCTCTCTGCCCTGGTTGTTTTTCCAGGCCGCTCGAGGCATTCCCAGCCGCTTGTCCTCGTTGTCCGAGCGGATGAAGCGGCCCGTGCCCTGCAAAGGGAGGCGTCAGGCAGCAAGGAGGAGGAGGAGGAGGAGGAGGACGAGGACGACGAGAACGAGAAGGAAAGAAGAAATAGAAAGCAGGAGGGTGAGGGGAAGAGAAGAGAGGAGAGAGGACTGTCGTGAGGGGGAGTCCCCCATCTCCCCCCTTCCCCTTTCTCCCGGTCCGCCGTCCAGGGCCTGACGAGGGGGAAAAAGGGCGAGGGCTGCGTGTGCAAATCGCGAGTGCGACGCGGGTGGGAAGAAAACCAGAACCCCACGAAACATGTGGGAGAAAACAATGTTCAGTAAATGTTTCTTCTGTGTGCTCGGGACACTCGATGTGGAAGTCCCTACGAAAGCTAAACGAAGATGTTCCCAAAGAGTTCGGTACACGCGCGCGCGACAACGCGAGCGTGTGGATTTGATTATATATTGGTACCACAGATTATTGGAAATTTCTGGTTGCAAATTGCACATCCCCACGCTGGACCGATAAGTCCGGGGGGGGAGGGTGGTAGATCATAACTCCTTGTTAGGAAAGAGAATCGAAGCTGTGCAATCTATGTTGCGCAATCTAACGGCGGCGACGAGCGGCGACGGCGGCGACGGGGCGGCGACGGCGACGACATAGCCGCCAGACCGACACACAGGCCCAGACGACGGGCGACGACGGGGCGGCGACGGGGCGACGACGGCGACTACATAGGCGCCAAACCCAGCTTCAGGCCCAGGCGACGGGCGGCGGCGAGGCGGCGACGGTGCAGCAACGGCGACTACATACCCGACAGACCGACCTTCAGGGCCAACCCATAAGTGCAAGCACTGTTCGGGGAACGATAGTAAATCCACCGTGAACCTTCAGAGAAATATGGAACCCTCCAAAAAACGATCCAAACCAACAGAGAAAAAAACTTCTGCCGCTCCATCGTGTGCCCCAGCATGTCTTGTATCAGGACTGTTCATCGTATGTGTTTACTGCACCAGGCAAGCCTGGCCGAAGATGACAGGCAATTTTGGCCGAATGCCGCTCCCTCGTAGCGAGGTGTTTCGCCCAGCCGGATCCGCACCGTCGCGTGGCGGTTCCAATGGCAGTCATAGGAAGGTGTCTCGCCCAGCCAGACACAGACCGTCGTACGCACCTGTTTTTACTCGCCTGGCGCCTGGATAACCAAGCTGCGGAACAGGCTATCCGCAAGGGTTACTCCCAGAAGCTAGGACGCCTGAAGACACACGCTGAAGCTTCCTCCGTGTTTCTGCACGAGTGTGAAATAGTTCCCCAGCGCGCCTATAGCACCGAGAACATCGGAGACGCTACCACGGAAGCGCTAGGCCACCATAAGAAAATGTACCCCGTTGGCCGTCTGTTCGGTGTCCGCGTTGATCGATTTAGCAGTGGATCGATCCGCGCATCCATGGTCATGGTCATGGTCACTTCTACTTCATGTTCGTCCTCGTCGCCGTCAGCTGTCACGCTCTCTGCCCGCCAGCGGACGGCAGAGACGGCTGCCCTTGCGGCCGTGTTGTACAATGCCCGCGACTTCGAGCGCCTGGCCCGGGCGTGCGATCCGACGAGGCCAACACAGGCGGAGCCGCAGCGTGCCCTCCGTGCTCTCTGGGAGCAGCAGCCTGGCAGCGCGGACGGTTTCCGGGAACGTTTCCGCACCGAGGCGCCTCCATCAAGACGGCAGGGGGACAGTCCTGGCGAGGCGTCCCGCCCCGCTGGACCCGCCCGTGTCCGTGCCGATGTCCTCGCCCAGATCTCTCCTTGGATTAGGTTCTTCGTTTCCTCCTTCAGGCGGATTCGGGAAGACGAATGAAACAAATGTCTTTTTAGAATGAAAGATGACAGAAGACGCCCCCTCTTGTTTGCCCTCCGTCTTCTTCCGACATCCTTCTTCTTCTTCTTCCCCGCCGCCTGGCTCCTCTCCCCCCGTCCCTGCGGCGCTTCTGGCTCGCTCCTGGTCTCGCCCTTTCCCTCCCTCCCCGAATTCGTCCGCCGTTGCCCTTGGGCCCGACGCCCCCGCGAGCGCCCTTGCGCGCCGCTCGGCTGCGCCGGCGTCTTAGACGACGCAGCACGCCCCCCACAGGCACGCTGCAGGCGTCCACCGGAGGACCTCGACCGCTTGCGAGCGGCCCCGACGGCGCCGGTCTGCACCTGCGGTGCGACCCGCGGAGGCAAAAAGAGGGGGAGGGGGAGGAGGAGGAGGAGGAGGAGGAGGAGGAGGAGGAGGAGGAGGAGGAGGAGGAGGAGGAGAAGGAGGAGGAGGAGGAGGAGGACGAGGAGGAGGACGAGGAGGAGGACGAGGAGAGAAGAAGGAGGGCGGGGGGAGGATGAGGATGAAGAGAAGTGTTATGTGCACGCGCCCTCTTGCCAGCGGTGCTTTCGACGTCCCCGCAGGTAGGGGCGAGCCTTTTTGGCGTCTGGCAGGATATGGTCCGCCGCAGGGTTGGCGCCAGCATGTTTTCGCTGATGCTC